GGTGACCTCAGTGCAGCCTGCAGTGCCTAAAGGGAGCCTGCAGCCAGGAGGGGAGTCAGCTCTTGGCAAGGGGAGATGGCAGCAGGACGAGGGAAATGGTTTGGAGCTGAGGGAGGGCAGCTGGAGGTTGGATGTCAGGGGAAGTTGTGTGCTGTGAGAGCGGGGAGGGGCTGGAACAGCTGCCCAGAGAGGCTGTGATGCCCCGTCCATCCGTGGAGGTGTTGGAGGCCAGGTTGGATGGGGCCCTGGGCAGCCTGGGCTGCTGTGAAATGGGGAGGTTGGTGGCCCTGCATTGGTGGGGGGTTGGAGCTTCGTGATCCTTGGGGTCCCTTCCAACCCAACCGTTCTGTGATTCCAGATGAGGACCACTGCAAAACTAGTGTCTCCTATTTTATCACGTTGGTCCGTGGTGAATCAGAGGTGGATGTTGATGGTTTGGCAGTAGAGGTCGAACCGTCGCAGTAATATTCTGTGACATTCCATTGCTGTGTTACAGCTGGCAGCAGAGGGGCAGCCTGATAAGATGGAACCTGACATGGAAGTCTGTATGAAGCAAAGATGTGCCATGAAACAATGGCACCCATGGACATCCATCAACACTTGTGAAGAGTTATGAAGACCACAGGGGATGTGAGCACAGTGAAGGCTGGGTGGATTTCAGCAGTCAAGATGGTGGCAGTGAGTCACTTCCACTGCTGCACATTGTTAGGAATGCAGCACACAGGTCCTCATTCATTAGCTGGCAAAAATGCATAGCTAATTGTAGTCTCTGTGCTGAAAAATAGTAGTCTGTAGCTGAGGATGTGCTCCATCAAATAGTGTCATTGTGCTTTGTAGCTGCAGTAGTTTTCATGGAAATAATTAGAAGACATTACTTTTGGAGCAACTACATGCACTGCTACACTCTGTAACCTTTATTAATAAAATACTCAACCTTTTGCAAAAACAATATAGCACATCCTTAATATGTGTCAAAAGAGAACAAACCCTGAATAATAACAGCTAAATGAAGAACGAAGCTCAGGGAGGAGCTGTTGTAAGCATAAGTGAAAACATCATTTAAAACACATCTGCAGTTCAGGAGAAAGCACAAAATTTAAACGAACATTAATTTAGATTTCATAAGTCACAGAGGGACAGTGACAGACACATAGATGAGTGACAGACACATTTATACTGTTATCTGATCCATCTGGTGAACAGGGAATAAGAACTACACATAAACCAGATGAGGTTTAACAGAAGCAAGTGTAGAGTCTTGCATCTGGGGAGGAATAATTGCATGCACCAGTACAGGCTGGGGGATGAGCTGCTGGAGGGGAGCTCTGCTGAGAGGGACCTGGGTGTCCTGGTGGACGGCAGGTCGGCCATGAGCCAGCAGTGTGCCCTTGTGGCCAAGAGGGCCAATGGCATCCTGGGGTGCATTGCACAGAGCGTGGCCAGCAGGTCGAGGGAGGTGATCCTCCCCCTCTGCTCTGCCCTGCTGAGGCCTCATCTGGAGCACTGAGTCCAGTTCTGGGCTCCCCAGTACAAAACAGACAGGGATCTCTTGGGAAGAGTCCAGTGGAGGGCCACAAAGATGGTGAGGGGCCTGGAGCATCTCTGCTATGAGGAAAGGCTAAGTGAGCTGGGTCTGTTCAGCCTTGAGAAAAGAAGACTGAGAGGGGACCTGATCCAGGTCTATGAATATCTGAGGTGTGGGGGGCAGAATGGTGAGGCCGGACTCCTTTCAGTGGTGAGTGGAGACAGGACAAGGGGAAATGGCTGGAAACTGCAGCATAGGAAGTTCTGCACCAATGTGCGCAAGAACTTCTTTACAGTGAGGTGACGGAGCACTGGAACAGGCTGCCCAGGGAGGTGGTGGAGTCTCCTGCTCTGGAGATGTTCAAGACCTGCCTGGATGCCTACCTGTGCTTTGGCAGGGGGTTGGACACGATGAGCTCTGGAGGTCCCTTCCAACCCCTACAATTCTGTGATTCTGTGAAACAAAGGCACATTCAGTGAACCTAGAAGAGGAGACAAGGTGCATATTGCATGGAATGGGAAGCAAGAAACTGAGAAAGGTCTTCAGAAACATGGAAGAAACAGCACAGTAAGCTGCCCCACAAAGTAAAAGCTGAAGAGTTTGCACAGCCCCAAGGGCAGGAGCCAACACAGCATGGCAACAGAGCTAATGCCAACTTTGTAGCAGCACATACAGCCTGATGTGCTGCAACAGCCCCAGGGACACAGACAAAACACAGGTGTAAGGGTATGACAGGAGGGAGGGAAACAGCAACAGTGTGAACCAACTGAAGCCTCCTGTACTGCCTGTGACCCCACCTGCTGTGCCTGGGTTCGTTAATTTTCTTCACAGAGGCCCGTGGGGCTGTTTGGGGTTGGGCAGCATGGTGTTGACAGCACACGGATGTTTTGGTGTCTGCCAAGCGGTGCCGTGCAGAGACAAGGACCGTTCCGTCCTTGTGCTGCTGTGAGGGGCTGGGGGGCACAGCCAGGAGAGCTGAGCCAGCCTGGTCACAGGGATGTTCCTTCCCTTACAGAGTTGTGCATGGTGATAAAAGCTGGGGGAAAGAAGATGGACATCGAGGGAAGCGATCTGTCCTTCCATAAGGCCTCACGAATGACGAGCCTGCTTTCCTAGAAACGGATGGCCACCTGCCTGCCAGCTGGAACTACTGACTGGATTCCTTGTTCTGCTTTGCAGCTTTTGCTCTACCAGTTAAGCTGTCCGTGTCCCAATCCATGAGTTCCCATGTTTTTCCCTTTCCAATCCCCATCGTGCTGTAGGGCAGTAAGAGCAGAACTGCATGAGGCGGCGAGTGCCCAAGAAAATACAGACGTCAAGCGATACAGATTTTGTCAGCCACAACCACCCACAGCATGAGCCCTGTGCTTTCTCCTACAACTGCACACAGTGGTCACTGCTCCTCTGTGGGCAGAGCCAGCCAGGATGCTGATCCGACTGCACGAGGTTATTTCTATGATCCCAAAGAAGAAAAACATGGGAATAAAAGAAACTGAAGTAGTAACCTGTCCTTTTATACCACTGAAATGGAAAGCTTCACGAAGTTCTCAATGACTGATATTTAAAAATGATTCTCTGCTGACCCAGCAGGTACAAGCACAGCTCTTGGCTCTCCACCTGGACATCACCAGTAAAAACAAGTTCTTCAGTCTGCACAAATTATACGTATTTTGCCAGGGGAAAGTGTTTGCAAATCTTTAATACTCACAAATTCATACACTGTGAACGTTAGGCCCTGCACTTCCTCCACAACACTTTCAATTTCTTTAATACCATTGAAAACACATTTGTAAATTGAAGGCTGTGTGCACATTAAAACTCAAGGTTGTAAGTTCTCCCACTTCAGTACAACTAAAAACTATGGGCATGTGGTTGGTAAGCTATATTTTCTTTGCGGCAGTTTAGGATCTTGATAGGAGCTGAATCATTTAAACAAATTACTTTTAGAATGCATTTACAGGCAGAGAACAAGACAGCTAAATTTCAGGGTAAAAATAAATAAAAATAAAAGATACAATAAAAGAATGGCCCAGGTTGGAAGGGACTCACGAAGCTCCAACCCCCCACCAATGCAGGGCCACCAACCTCCCCATTTCACAGCAGCCCAGGCTGCCCAGGGCCCCATCCAACCTGGCCTCCAACACCTCCACGGATGGACGGGGCATCACAGCCTCTCTGGGCAGCTGTTCCAGCCCCTCACCGCTCTCACAGCACACAACTTCCCCTGACATCCAACTAAGCCTTTCTTCTTTGAGCTTAAAACCATTCCCGCTCATCCTATCACTGTATACCTGAGTAAAAAGTTGATTCCCCTCCTGTTCATAATCCCCTAGGTGTTACCTCAAAGAAGCATTTTGCCACATTTGCTGCCTTGCATTCAATGGACCTTGATCCCAACCATACACGAGTAAGAAAGTCACAGGCAAACTTCCAGGGATTAGCAGGTTATTATTCTCTTTGCCTGTACATACAACTTCTTTTGGGATGGACCTGCAGATCTCCTCCTTTTGGTCTGGTCTCTGGAGCCAAGTGGCCCCAATCTTCTACCATTGGATCCCAAATAACAAGAACTACCAAACTGCCCTTCCAATGGGCAAACCCTTAATCAGCAACAGCTGTGAGCTGCATTTGGCTGCTCAGTGCCTTAAGGGATAGGCAAACTAAACTGTCCCATAGTCCTCCCTGGACTCAGAATCCCAGAGAAAGTTCAGCTGAACAGAAAGGGACAAAACAGTAACAGAAAACATAATCACAGAGAAGTAAATGGATTGAAAATGTGGCTAGAATAGTGCAGTCCAGTAAAATGGAAAGACTCCTTCCAGAGAAGGTAACGCTGAAACAGCAGACCTATGAATTGTATGATTTGTAAGAATCAGACAAGATTTGTATGATTTTGTAGGATGTAGCCCAAAGTGCTGATTCCATCATTAGCTGAATTGAAAGGCATGTGGAAATCGTTCCGTATTTGCTTTACTTTCCTCTTCTTTTTTTTCATAATTCCACTACAGGATGGATGCAGTACATTACAGCTCTGTGCTCCACGGAAACCACACTCAGTAAACCACCACGAGTATCTCCCTGGACCAGAGCTCCCCAGCTCACCAGCAGCAAAGAGCCACACATTGCAGGCACCAGGCAAAGTCCATGGCAGCGCTGCAGCAGCTGAGCAACATGGTTGTTAACAGGCCAAACCAGACAGTGACAAGCCCAACGTCTCTTAAAACCAAGAAGTTATAAGCCAGGCTACTTAATTCCAGAGCAAAACAGACTGCATTTTCTCACTTCACCAGTGGCAATTTTACTAGTGAAATGACCTGTGCAGGCTGTGAAAGACAAAAAGGCACTGAACCTTACAGCCATCCTGCATTGCTGACCGAGAACAGATGCAGCTGGGCACTTAAAGTGGAAGCAACAAGAGCAGAGGAACTAACGTTAGAAACTAGAGACCTGAGAGAGGGGGATTTGAGAACCTTACCGTGGAGATGACCGATACCTTCCAACAACAGCACCAGGGAAGCCTAATAGCAAAGAGTTAAACATGCTAATTTAAACCTGCTGTGAAAAGTAGTGCATCCTACAAATCAATGACTACCACACGAGCTAATTGCATTTACTCCTAGCAGCTGAACTAATAAACCACCACAAGGAACACTTGCTATCGCTCTTCCCCCACAGGCCTGCTCTTAGCACCGCATTCACTAACATCACTTGTTCTGAGCCAGGTCACTCTGCCGATCGTCCCCTCCCTGACAGCGCCAGCAGAACCATCAGAGAAAGAGCTGTGCAACCAGAGGGCAGCTGAGGGCAACAGCAGCAAGCAAGCAGTTCAGGGCTCACTTCACAAAATACCAGTACTTTCCAGATATCCAAAGCAATATATCTTCCAGTCCCACGCCACAGACACATTCTTCCCAGCTGGAACATGTTGCCTTTTAAAGGACTAACACCTACCTGTGCCAGACTAGGCAGACGGCGAACACCTACAGTCACATGTGTGCAGACCAAGAGGGAGCAACAACCTTATCCACAGCAGGATGGGGCAGGAATCCAGATATTGTATCATGATGAATGAGCAGCAGACATTCTAATTGACCTGAAGCAGAAGTAGCTCTAAGACAGCAGGTGGAGGACACATTTGGATCCAGCTCTGAAAAGAGAAAACAAAATACTGAGTGATAGAAAAGAAGTATACAATATAAATAAAAGCTTTCTAGAACAGACCAACCCATGTGATACTTCATAAGCAGCACAACTTGAAAGGAAGGATGCAACTGACAGTGACTAAAGCCCTCCCTGCACATCCATGTTGCCTGTAAGGTACTTCTGCCCAGGCACTGCACCACACCTGGATAGCTTGTAAGCTGTTCAGCTGTCAGTCTGTAGCCAGCTTGTGACTGAGCAGGTTGGAGATAAGGTGAAGTATACTTCCCTGTAATGTGTCGACATGTTGAGGCTTACGCTGGTAAGAATCACAACATGGTAAAGTTTGGAAGACACCCCTGGAATAGGCCTGGTCTAACCAAGAAGATGGGGATGCTCATGAATCTCACATGAATGCTCTCGGTTCTATTTCTGCCATAGGACATCTCCGGTAACTCTGGGGAAAGCAGCCCAGTCTGGGAGCTGCTGACCAACCAGCCTGCTTTCATGCTTCAAAAAAGAACCTCTAAAGGCTCTCGACCTTCCTGGCATTTTCACAGGAACTACTGGCTACCCTGACAGGCTGTCAGTGCTGCAGACAGGAGAATGACTGACCCCACAGACTCAGGGTACAGTCAGGCAGCTTCAGTGGCTGCATGTTCACAATAAGGTCCAGAATCGATGGGTCTGAGGAGGAAAAGGCCGCTCCTTGGAAAGGAACATACGAGAGCATGACTTTGTTTTAACAGCCCTCCACTGCAGGTGATGAAGGGCAGAAGCATTACAGCACAACAAATGTGCACCCACAGCACTCACAGGTGTGAGCTCACACCCAGCCATGCAGTTAGAAGCAGCTGTTCAGAGAACAGACAGACAAGAAAGGAAACACGAGCATCACGGTGCCAGGCTGGGCAGTCCAGGGCAGCCGCAGAGCAGACAGCCCCAACAGGGCAGTAAGGAGTCTCAGCTCAGCAGGGTTGAAGCAGGGCAAGAACAAAGGGCAGAAAGACTGTGGTGAATTGTGCCAAAATAGAGTTAAAGAAGGATAAGGTCTGGGATAGCAGTGACTGAGCACAACAAAGCAACAGAGGCAGTGCAGGTCAGAAGGACTGGGCCAAGCCAGCAAAGAGCCAGAGCACGAGGTACAGAAACAGCACTGCCATGCTGCAGAACAGGAGGTATCAGAGACTGACAGAGCAGCAGCCTCACTCTCACCATGCCCAGGGGCCAGGCTGGGAATTACTCCCCTAGTGCCAACGGGCAGGAATCCTGCTCAGAAAGGAGGTCTGGTTCCTCGTGGCAGTGCCCCTGTGGTGAACAGTTGGGTGTCGACTGCTACTGAGGCAGTACCAAGAAACCGGTTCTTTTCAGAAGGTGCACAACTCCTCCAGGCATGTCGTACTTTGAAGTCATTCTCCAAGAAGGGCGCTGCTGACACCCACAAGGTTGGAAACGACCTGCAAGATCATCCAGTCCAACCCCCCTCCCATTCCTATCAGTGCCACAAGCACTAAACCATCTCTCATAGCTCCTCATCCAGGCGCCTTCTGAACACCACCAGGGACGGCGACTCCACCACCTCCCTGGGCAGCCATTCCAGTGCCTGACCACCCTTTGAGAGAAAAAGTTTCTCCTAATATCCAACCTAAACCTCCTCTGGTACAACTTCTGGCCATTTCCTCGGGTCCTACTATTTGCCTGGGAGAAGAGGCCAGACCCTTTTGCACCACAGCCTCCCTTCAGGAAGTTGTACAGTGCAGTCAGGTCTGCCCTGAGCTCCTCTTCTCACACTGAACAATCCCAGCTCCCTCAGCCGCTCCTCATATTTGTGCTCCAGACCCCTCACCAGTTTCGTTGCCCTTCTCTGGACACGTTCCAGGGCCTCAATGTCTTTCTTGTAGTGAGGGGCCCAAAACTGAACACAATACTCGAGGTGCGGCCTCACCAGTGCTGAGTACAGGGGGATGATCACCTCCCTGCTCCTGCTGGCCACACTATTTCTAATGCAGGCCAGGATGCCGTTGGCTCTCTTGACCTTCTCATCCCTCTCACATTTAATTTGCGCTAGCCTTTCCCAGCAACTTGACCCCGGGGTCCCTCCGCAGGTGGTGCCGAAAGAGGAACCTCAGGAGAGAGCTCAGGATGTAGAGAATGACAAGGAGGGAGAACCGCCTGCCGAGGCAGCTCGGCAAGGCCTGCGCTGAGAGCAGCGGTCAGACGCGGCGCACTTTGTACTCGGCGAGCACCGGGCGACGCGTCTCCCTCTGCGAACACGGCGGGTGCAGCCCAAAGGCAGCGCCGAAGACGGCCCACAGCCGGCTGCAGGACAGCACCGGGTGCCTCGGGGCGAGGGGACGGGGACCTTTCCGTCCAGGCGCCGTCAGACGAGCGCTCCACGCCCCCGGGAAGCTCAGCCCACGCGGCAGGAAGGGCCGCCGACGGCTTCTGCAGCCCACACGCGGGGCGGCATCCCGGGACGACGCCCCCCGCTCCGCCCGCCTCAGCGCGACGCGCCGAGCACCGGAGCCGCCGCGGCCCGTCCCGGGGGTGTGGGGCGCGCGCTGAGAAAACGGCGGAGGCCGAACGGGCGGCACGGCGGGGCGGCGCCGCGCCCGCGAGGAACGGCGCGGGGCGATTCCCGGCCGGAGGGCAGCGCCCGGCGGAGGCGTCCCGGGGCGGGGGGCAGCGGGGCGCGGCGCTCACCGTCCCGGCCATTCTCCTCCCGCCGCGCCCGCGCCGCTCTCCCGCTCGCACCGGGGCCGCCGTCCCGGCGCTGAGCGCCTGCGCGACGCTGCGGAAAGCGGCGCAGGGACCGTCTGCAAAGTGCGCACCGCGCGGCGCGACCTGCGCAGGGGCGGCGGTGCGGAGCGGCCCTCCCGCAGCCCCCGACCGCCGGCGAGGAGGCACCGCGCAGGGGCGGCCGCTGCCGGCGCTCGTGTTTTAGCGGCGCTTCGGGAGACGGGAAGGCGGTCGCTCCGCGGTCCCTGCGAGAGCCTCGCGGGGGCGGCGCGGGCCGCCTCCTGGAGGCGGGGGCCGGGGCCGTACGTTCCCGGTCCCCGGGGCGCCCCTGCGGACGGTTTCCGTGCGCCGCGGGGCTTTGAGGCGGCCGCGGGTAAGGGATGGCCGGGCCGCCGCCGCCGCCTCCTCCGCCGAGCCCCGGCGCCCCGGGCTCAGCGCTGCGGCATCTCCTCGCGAACCGCCGCCGCAGCCCCCGCGGCGCCCCTCACCACGCCGCTGTCGCCGCCGCAGCCCATCGGTCGCCGCCGCCCCGCACCGCCGTCGCGCCCCTCGTACCTGAGCGCCGCCGCACCGCACGCAGCCCCCGCCGCCGCCGCCGCGCCTCCGCTCGCCGCCGCCCGGCCCGGCCCGGCCCTGCCCCGCCCGCGGACCCACCTGGCAGCGGGGCTGGGGCCGGAGCTGGGGCTGACGCGGTGCCGCCTGCTTGCCGGGTGCGGTGCGGTGCGGCTCCACCGCGCCAGCAGCACCCGAGGGAGCGCTCAGAACCCATCTCTGCCCGGCGGCTGCCGCGGGCGCTGCGGGGACAATCGCTTACCGCGGCTCAGCGAGACATCGGAGCTGGTGTGGCACCGACTGCAGTCATACTCTAACAGCGAACGTGGGAAGAAAATGGCTTTGAATCGTGTCTAATACTTCGAATTCAAAACCGGTCTCTGCCGAGAGTCGTTATCCCGAATTTGCTGCTCCTCTTTGTACCTGCCCTTAAGCAGCTGTGGGGTGTGAGGATGCTGTGCTCGGGGCCGTGGGTCTGATCTGCTGTGCCGGGCACTTTGGGAAGGACAAGGGATGTTGTTCAGTGAGAATCCAGTAGGAGATATTTATGCAGTACGCTTTCAAAGAACAATTTGAGTAAGCGCTGAGGGAGTCTACTGTAGGTTAAAGAAGCACCAGGAACAATGAGAGATGAGTGTTGCTAAAGGAGGTGTAGCGAAGGTGCTGCGCTGAGGGGCTGTGAAGGCAAACAGCTCAGGTTAAGAGGAGAAACAGATGAGCAAAGACAAGCAGATCTTCCAACTCCAGGTGTTCAAATCTGGCGTAAGCTTAAAAACTAAATAACATCTTGTAAAGATTATGAAGTAGATTTATATCTCTTATAATTGGGGCTATACATTCTGCCCTAAGTTTGCACTTTTTCTGCGTGGTATTTTCAAGCTTTTTCACAGAACCTGAATCACAGAGAGACCAAGGCTGGGGGCACCCAAGGCTTCCTCTGGTCCCACCCTGCCCCAGCAGGGCCACCCAGAGCAGGGTGCTCGGTCCCACGGCCAGGTGGGGCTGCAGATCTCCAAGAAGGAAACTCCACAGCCCATACGAGAAGGCTGTGCCAATGGTCCAGCATCAGCACAACTGTGCTTCCTGGCAGGCAGGGCAACTCCTGGGCCCCCATTTGTGTCCAGCACCGCTTGTCCTGGCACCAGCACCACTAGAAAGAGCCCAACTTTGTCCTCTCTTCAGGGATTTAAGGCCACTCACCACAGAAGACCCTCCTGAGCCTTCCCTGCCCCATGCTGAGCAGCCCCAGCTCTCAGCCTCTCACAGCAGAGGTATGCTGGGTCCTTCGCCATCTCTTTGGCTCTGCATTGGACTCTGGTGCGTCCAGATCTCTTTTGTACCAGGGAACTGTGACCTCCTGGTCACACTTTGCCTAATGCAGCCACTAATAGTGTTAGCCTTCCTTTTGCCACTGCTATTTGCTCTGGTATACAATTGTAAAGGAAAAATAGTTTTTGTTACCCATAATCCAGAAACTCACCTTCGGGTACCTTCTTCGGGTACCTTCTTCGGGAAGAAAAAGTTTAGCATGCATATTGTAAAGATCCATAAGTGCTGTACACATCCAGGAAACACAGTCTGAAATAACGGTGCAGCAGATGGTACCTGCCTTGCCTGAGGGACAAAGCCGAGCCCCAGGTGTCACAGCAAGAAAGCACTGCGTGGTGGTTTAGGCTCAGACTGCTGGTGGGAGGCTGCTCAAGTGAGCGAGCCTGGGTGTGCTGTAAAGAGCTGAGAAGCGTGTTTCATCACAGCTCTGGGACTGGGTGATGCTCAGGGCCAAATAGCAGGGGCAAAGCTCCCAAAAAGTAAGTCATCCCTGTAGAGTAAGGAATGGAAGAGCATGCAGGGAAACAATACTCCTGTTCTGATAGGGCAATACTCATCTGTTAATGAGATTGTCTTCTGTGTCCAGACATCTGATCTCAGCCAACCCCATACCCGGTGTTAGTAACCCCATACCTGGTCTTTGGGACATTCTGGACGGTCTGCACACCATTTTATTGCACCCTGAGTGCAGTTGGCTGTGAATCACTTTGGAGTGAGAGAATTCAGCACCCTGAGGGCTGTGACTGATACCTGCAGTCATCCTGGGGATTCACATGCAAACAGCTGACCTGCTCAGAGGCAAACCGTGCTGATGAGTTGGGCTGCACATGGAAAAGTCACATTATTTATATTCCAGAGCCTTGGAGAAGATTGATGGGCACCTTGATCAGATGCACTGTTTTTCACAACATTTGCATCTTTAAAGAAAACAAAGTCTTATTAGTGAAGAGCAGAGTGGTAGCTCCTTCACAGGACAGGAGACGAGGACTATTTTCTTCTGTTTCTTAAAACTAATAGCACAGCTGGGACAAAAGCTGCCTGTGTTTGTAACGTATTTTGTACTTTTTTTTCTCTGTGATCAGAAGTAAACTGTTTCAACGGGATAAGGGTTAAGTAATCCTGCCCAGGAGATCCAGAACAGTGAGTTACCTCGCTGCAATGAAACAAGAAAGAATATTCAAGTGTGTGGAGCCAGTAGGAATTGAAGAATGTCTTAGGTTGGAAGGGAGCTTTAAGATCATCCAGCTTCAACTCCAAGAGAAGTGCACACAAACGTGTGTGCAACTCATGGCATGGGTCACGGCAGACTAAGCAGAGTTGGAGGCACAGCCAATGCCCCAAGGGGGCATGCACTGTATGTTATAAGCTTGATTATGACACTCAGTGATTTGGCTTCTCAGTCAGCCTGTGACCCCCAGTACAGTCCAAGAATTCTGTACCACAGTCCTCACGCAGCTGAGTGTCCTTGAAGGTCGGTCCTTCTTTGCAGACAGTAGCATAAAAATGGTGGCACAGGTTTAAGTCATAAGTGCCACCTGACTCATTTTGCCTGTTTCTGCCAACGGCCAGCAACGAACACCTACAGAGGATCCTAACACAGCAGACACACAGTGATTCCTCCTGGAGCCCTTTCCTAGCTCCAGTGCTTTCTGATTCAGACCTACTGTGGCCGAGGTGGTGGCTCAGTGCCTCACTGCTTTGAGTTGCTCTTTTGTAACTTTCCTCAACTGTGTACTCAGTTGTGAAATTAAAGGCCGCTGTCTCAGCTGCAGCTGGGTTGGAATTGTTTTCTTCAGCGTGTCTGCTAGGATGTAACGCTTTGGTTCTGGGAGGAGACCAATGTTGATAACATGCTGATGTTCACAGCTGCTGCTAAGCAGTGTGGCACAGAGGAAAGGCAGCAAAGGACCCAGAAGGGAGCAGAATTAGAACAGCTGTCTGAAACCGGCCAGAGGAATATTCCATACCATATGGCATCACGTGGAAGGAGTTTTGAAGGAGATGAAAGTTGATCTTTCCTTCTCTTCCACTGCTCAGGGGCTAGCTGGGCATTGGCCCAGAGTGGGGAGCAACTGCTCGTGCATCACTTGTTATACACATTCATATACACTGCCATGACTATTACCCTTTCCCTTTTCTCTCTACTAGTAAACAGTCTTATTTCAACCTATGAGTTCTACTTTCTATCCTGTCACCCATCCCCCTGGGAACAGAGGGAGCAATGACTGCGTGATGCTGAGCCACCTGCCAGGGTAAGACACAACAGTCAACTCAGCGCCCAGCTCGTCAGAGGGATTGATGTGACCACAGGGCTGCGGTGAGGGCTGTGGCACCATAGGGTCTGCCAGAAGGGTTGGGGTAACCGCAGGCTCAGACAGAAAGGCCAGAGCAACTGTGGGACCTGTGACAGAGCTCGGGGTGGCCGCAGGGCTCACGGCAGCTGGAGCAACTGCAGAGCTCACATCAGGAGCTGGAACAACCACAGAGCCCATTGCAGGAGCCACAAAGGACACGACTCTGTCTGCATCCATGCGATCACTTCATGTGTGCACCTGCAAGGGAGCTGCTGAGTCACGGCCTGAACCCCTGATTGACCACCTGAGGCCGGCGCTGGGTCGGCCCTGGGGCACAGTGAAGGCGATTCACTGCTGCAGGAAGGCTGGAGCCTGGCTGCCCCCCTCCCAGGCCCATTTAAGAGCTGACTGCCGGCAGGGAAGGATCTCTGCTGGAGATCTGCTCCTCTGAAGTGTCATAGCGAGCCCAGGACACGGGTAAGCATTCCATCTCTTCTGTTTTGGTATAACAACTGCATAGCCAAACTCTGGTATATTTCATATCTGTAACGTCTGTACATTCACTGATTACACAGCACCCAAACCCTCATTCGCTGGAAAAGCATCTGCTCTGTACCTCACCTCCTAGTCACTGTCATCACTAAAACCATAGGCCTATTTTCAGCTGAAATTATCTTTCAGTTTGAAGAATTAATTTGTTCCAGCTCTGCTCCAACAAGGACACGCACAGCAGCCCCAGACCAAATCCAGGCAGCTTCTAAGCTCTCCGCAGAGGAGGCTCCACAGCCTGTTCCTGTGCGAGAAACCTGCACCAGTGCTCCATCACTGACGGCACAGAAGTGCTTCCTGATGTTCAAGTGAATCTTTAATCTTATTGCTGAAAAGCTGAAGCAGTGCATGAAATCAAATGACTGTCAAGTCCATAACGGCCACCTCATCATCCTCAGCTTGACTTGTAAATTTAAAGGCTGAAGACTTGACAGCACTGTAGCTTATGTACTATGCAACAACCTCACTAGAATCCGTTATGCAGCAACACCAGCTACACTAAGCTTACCTGCCAGCATTTCTGATTTCAACTGCTTGTAGTCTTACAACAGGAATCAGTGCAGACTAATAAACCTTCCTGTTCTGTGTGACACAGGATCAGCTCTTCAACTTTTTGTTTTCTTTCTTCATTATACCATTTGCTTTATTGCATTCTTAATTTACCATTCCCAATTTGCACCAGTTAGAGCTTAACTGCAAACCTGCCTGCCTAGAAGATGCAATAGTTGCTTTCACTAATCCTAACCTCACCTTGGAATGCAGACATTTATCAACAAGCCAGAATTTGCAGACTCAAGAGTCTGCTGGCAGAAGACCTCTCCCCCAAAATGCAGCTCCCAGCTTCCTTCGATTTCCAAAGA